GTCGCTGGCAACTCAAACCCTGGACCGGATGTGGCTGCTGATGTTGCTGGTGCTGGTACCCCCTTTCAGAGGATGATCGATGAAATGCGTCACAAAAAGCGTGTCGTCCACACCGAAAACCGGGAGCGCGCAAAGGCAGCCAGGAACAAAATAGTGGACACGAGCGATGAGATGACGAAGCGACGAATAGAAGAACACACGGAGAAAGGATCATCCTCATGGCTGAGCGTGCTGCCCCTGGCGGAGCATGGCTTTCGTCTCACCAAGCGTGACTTCCGGGATGCTCTGGCATTGAGATATGCATGGCCGCTAGCCAATACACCAGCAACCTGTGTGTGTGGTGAGCTGTTCTCAGTTGAGCATCAGCTATGTTGCGCCAGGGGCGGCTTCCCGACACTTCGTCATAACGAGATACGTGACCTGCTGGCGAGGGAATTGACTGAAGTCTGCACTGCCGTTTCGACAGAACCAGCGCTGCAACCTCTTTCTGGTGAGAGGTTTCCTCTTCGGTCAACGAACCGCCGAGAGGATGCGCGCCTGGACATAGCCGCTCGAGGGTTTTGGACCCGTGGGGAGGAAGCTTTTTTTGATGTAAGGGTATTTTGCCCAGATGCTCCTTCCTACGGGTCCAGAACCCTTCCTGCATTGTACCAGCAGCACGAGCGGCGTAAGTGGAACGAATATGGGCCAAGAGTCACAAATGTAGAAAGAGCCGCTTTCACACCTCTCGTGTTCTCTGTGCATGGTGGTTGTGGGAGGCTGTGCAATGTGTTCCTCAAGAGACTGTGCCAGATGCAGGCCGAGTCATCGGGATCTCACTATTCCCAGGTCATTGGTTTACTCCGCTGTCGGCTGTCTTTTGCTTTGCTGCGTGCTGCTGTGTTGTGCATACGTGGGGCTCGGTCACGGTACCACCATCCGGCGAGATGTTTTCATGATGTCTCGATTGCCGTGGCCGAGTCAGGTCTAGTTTGTTAAGTATCGTGCTGTGTCCTGACTGTGCATGTGGGATTGGTATGGCGCTTACCCTTTTGTTGCTGTTTTGTTGCTTTCATGCCTTTAAGCATGTAATTGTGTTCAATTGTTGTATTTCATGGAAAAACGATCTTTGCGTTGGATTCATTTAAACTATTATTTGTGTAGGGTTCCACTCCTTCATCTTGGGAAATTGTGTTTTGTTTGCCCAAAGAAGTGGCTTCATCATCATCATCCTCATCATCATTACCACCTTCACCTGTCAAGCTCAACTCTCCTAGTACATGTAACAGATCACCTGGGTTTTCATCATTGCTGTACACTCCGCTTCTATACTCCTCTTCCCGCAACTGTCATGCAACTTGTACTTTCATCATTTACATCAGTCACGGATTACATTGATAATTGTGGCAAGATATCGTTCAAAAAACTTTCAATTGTTGCTAAGATTGTGATATGAGTGCCCACCTAGTATATTTCATTACTGGTTAGTGCGTATTATGTGACCCTGTTCTATGCAAGCAAAAAGAAAATGTTGTAGCACTCACACTTTTCAAATAATACGCACTCACCAGGTTTGTCCACACGCACTCACAGCTGCCACATTCATCTACTGCTACCAGTCTCAGATACACTGCAAAGGTTCACACTACACGCGTTATGCATAACCGCAAGCTGTGCTGCATTCTCACGCTTCTTTTCATATTACTCTAGCTATATAACTGGTTGTTTTAGTGATTCTTACTATGTGACGATATTCCACTGATGATAGTCACACGAAAACCTTCTGGACTTGTTTCATTGTAATTGTTTTATACATGGTTACGAGTGCACAATTGATATTTTTCTATTTTTGCTATTCTGCTAAAGTTTTCAGTTTTCTAGTATGCTCAACAAAGTAACAAGTTAAGGCCGATTCACAATACAACTTTCTGAGACGCGACACGCGATTTGCGACAGTTGCGACAAGAAACTGCCTGTCCCGAGCTGTCGCAAGCCGTCGCAATGCACCTGTCGCAGAAGTTGAAGAAAGTTCAACTTTTGCGACATGCGACACGCGACATACACAAATGGAGTACAGTTGCGACCCTGGGTGCACGTGCAGTGCACGTGCATAGTACTACTTGTGTGCATGAGGCCGTCGCAAACATGAAGAATATTGTGAACCGTGTGTCGCTGCCGCAGCTCGTCGCATATGTCGCAAGTCGCATGTCGCATCGCAGAAAGTTGTATTGTGAATCGGCCTTTAGTTTCAAATTCCAAATAATTTCTCGATCGACGCATTCTCTGTGTATACTCAAATGTGGCCGGTTCTCCACGGGACCGAAGTGGATCGACAGCGACATGTCTCACCTTGACGAAGAATCAGATCATACTCCTCTCAGCAACATATGAGCGACTTCAAGCACCTAAAAATATATCGATATATTGGTCCTTCATCCTCAAAAAGGTAAATATTAGTTTACTCTCATCATCAGTGGATAATTAGATGACATGGAGGAGTTTCTACGCATCTTTTGTACGTCGTTTTCGAGCAGTGAAATGTTCCAGAGTACGGAACTTGTGTGTTTGCCGTCATTGCCAAGGTTACGATCGCAAACACGCCACCTTCCCGCGCTATGCTTTGTTATTTTGAACATTGTTACCGAAATTAAAACCTCCCGCGGAAAATCGATGTTTCTCGTATCAAATTTGGGTGCGAAAAATCTATCTGCACCCGATGACGCAAAATCTCCATACGAACCATGATTCATATGAAAGCCAGTCCGCACGGATTCTCTGTGCCAAAAAATCGTATGGAGCACGCCTCGAAAAATCCGTAGCGCCCTTACAGATTTTAGCACGGAAAATCGTACCCCGGAACCTCTCTAATATGGAACTAAAGTGACCTTTGCTGTTCCTGAGGGAGAGACCGAATGTACTGTTCAAAGGAGGAGTCAAAAGGCGGAGTCAACTGAACAATGGAGTAACAAGGAAAAACAGAGAGAATCAACAAGGAATATGACGATGAACTGGATGATGAGATGGACAGGAGGTGATACGGACGGTCATGATGAGATTGGCGACGACGGCAGCGTCGGGACGGAGGAGCTGGATGAAGATGGTGATAATCAGAAGTCTGTGTTTCACCGTACTTTGTCGCGCACGATATGCTCGACAATTTCGGGTGCTTGAAGCTGTGTGTATTCGTCTGTATAAGTCAGTTCTGTGTAGGCATAAGAAGCATGTAGTAGCACTCAAGTTATTATTCGTAAGTTCACACATTGCTTATTTTTGTGTTAACGTATATGGCTCATAACTATTATCTCAAGTCGTTGTTCACGCTCCTTTTTTTGAGGCTTTTTTGTATAATTGTATCACTCCAAAAATCATTTTTTCCTCTGCTGTACACTATTATTCTTCAGTCACGAAAATCCACTGATGAGAGTGACAAGAAAATCGATTTTGATTAAACCTCTTTTAGACTTCTTTGCTGTGTGGCATGACCGCGGAACTAATAATATTCATTGCAATCATTAAAATATTGTCTCCTCGTCGCTTATTTATAATAATTATTAGGGCTGAAACGATTATACCGAATAATCGAGTACTCGTTTGATAACTCTAACGATCAATCAATCGTTTAGATTACCGATTACGATTATTTTGCGTTTTTTAAATTTGTGTCCAGAAAGTACTGTAAACCCTCGTTTTGTGAAGTTTGAATCAGTTTCCGCTGGGAGTATGCAGTTGCCAGGGGTATGGTTCATGTTCTGAGGTTAAATTGACTTCAAAACTGCCATGTTTCGGATCTACCCTTTCACTAATGCAGATTGGTTGGTATTATGAAGGCATAGTTTGTGGAAACAGAGTAATGTTTGCACAGAATTATGACTCTGATTATAATCGAGTACTCGATCGTTAAGCTAAAGAGTAATCGATACGTGAAAATCCACGATCGTTTCAGCCCTAATAATTATTAATTATACAAAAGAGAAAGACCAAGGAACTACAAGTTACGCTATGCTGTCCACTAACACCACCAGTTACTAAACAATCAGCTCATGCGATATCATTGCACGACACTGACCGACAGTACTGACGTTCTACAACTAACTGGCTAACAGCTCTAGCACATCTTGGATGCACACTCCAACAGCCTCATAGCCAGCAATCGCATGTCATCACGTACATTCAAAATCAACATAATTTTGCTATAAATCGACCTTTTTTTCAGCATCACTTTTCAACGAGGACGACGCAAAGTCGACCGAACGAAGCCCAGAGGAAGTAAATCACCCCCTCCATTTCACCATCACGATACTGACATAGATACGAGACGAAACAACTAAAAAAGGCACAAGAAAACGGTACGGCCATCTTCGCGCTGACTTTGGTCTGAGAATTTCTATCACGATCAAAATTGTACGAGGAGCACTCAAAATAAGCTACCGTAGTTCCAACTTGGAAGGTTCTAAGTTATAGAAATAACCTAACATAACTTGGCTCTCCATCTGAGTACAATTATTAATGAATTATTATCCATTATTCTCATTTAAGTGTCTTACTGTCAGTTGTAGTACTCCCAGTACTGTAAAGAGGATAGTTTTAGCGGATAACAAATTTATCCATTTCTGAATCAGAATCAATTAGCGATGAAATATAATATTTTAGAGGTGCGAGTTTCAGGGTTAAAACAATGTACATTACTGATACTGTACTGGGCATGCAACTTTAGCAAAAAAATCAAAAATAGCCGTTTTAGTTTAGTATTAGTTATTAGTTTTATTGACAGTAATCAATCAAATTGGACTGGTGTTTTCCCAACATCGGGCACATGCGCCATTGGGTCCTTGGAGTCCTAAGGGTGCAGCTGCAAGAACTGGTGTGCCAATAAGTGGATTTGGAGAATGAAATTGGGTATTGCAAGCAAAGTGAAGTGAAAAAAGAAAATCAGTGAAACGAAGTGTGAGATCCAGCATCACAATTACCCCGTCACAATCTTGTATCAACTGGAAAAGGGGAGTTATTAATTTATTACTTACATGTGCTGTTGAAAGTTGTCGTGCTCCCAGTACTCATAACTGAGTCGGATTGGACGGGGGTTTCCCCAATATCAGGCACAGATGACGTTGGGTCTGCACCACCATCTGATAATAGGGCTACAATGCTTGTTGCGGATTGGTTCAAAGCTGGGGCTAACGTGCTTGTTGTGGATTGGTTCAACGTGCTTGTTGCGGATTGGTTCAAATCTGGGGCTAACATGCTTGTTGCGGATTGGTTCAACGTGCTTGTTGCGGATTGGTTCAAAGTTGGGGCTAACGTGCTTGTTGCGGATTCGTTCAAAGCTGGGGCTAAATTGCTTTCTTCAAGCGTAGATGCGTCTATAAGTGAATTTAGGAAATGAAATTGTGCATTCCAAGTAAAGTGAAGTGAAAAAAACTGACATTGCGGCCAAACCAAGTTCGTCGGAAATTAGCTTTGAAATGGTTATGGGTTTTCACCTATCGATTACTCGTTAGCTTAGACATGGATTAATCAATTTTAATAGTTAACAAATAGTGTGTGACATTGCAGGCAAACCATGGGTGTCCAAACTAGGATTAAAACGACCATGGGTTTTCAACTATCGATTACTCTTTAGCTTAACGATGGATTAATCAATTTTAACTGTTAACAATTAGTGCCTGGATTGTGTACAAGATTTTCTCTTATTCCACAAGTTATGTCTTCATAAAACCAAAAAAATCTGCATTTGTCAAAGAGTAGCTCGAAACATGGCAGTTTTGAAGTCAATTGAATTTCCAGAACATGAACCATACCCCTGGCAACTGCATGTTCATAGCGGAAGCTGAAACTGATTCAAAGTTCACAAAAAGCGGGTTATTCAGTACTTCTTGGACTCAAAATCCCTAACGAGTAGTCAAGTACTTTATCCGCATCAGGGAGTAGTAAAATACAGGGAGGTGACACGCCACTAATCGTGATTTTTGATGGGTGCCTCGCACTTGGTTTTTTTTCTTTCGCAAAAAAAGATGATCTGCTGAATCAATCTTGAGTATTTGTCGAAGAACTAATTCCTTGAAAAGGTCTATCCCTCTCATGGAACAGCATTTGTTTTGCTCTTGTGATACATCTGTGTCATCTTCATATGGAAAGGTACCACCCTTCCGAAATTCGTTCCGATCGACAGCATGGAGCAATAGAACGAAGGTGATTTCCTTGAGAACAATACGTGTACGATTGGAGATGAAAAGCGAGGGCACCGATTTCGAAGTCGAAAAAATCTCTAGGACACCACACGATCGGCAGTAATTTCTCCTCAGTTGTGATCAACCAGTACTTCTCTACCTTCTTTGTGACGATGAGCATTTCATATTATGGTATGCTAGAGATTCGGGAGTTCACTTTTCGGAATGAAATGTTCCTAAGTTTGTCAAGGATTTAAATGTGGGCTACGTCGTCGTAAACAGCTTGTATCGAAACAGGAAAAATCTAAGGCACGCAGGGATATCTCCCAAAGTGATACCACTCTTGCTGGACTTCTATCCTGACAAATTTGTAGTTTGGTCGACTACCAAACTTTGTGAAGGCAGACAATTGTTGGAAATTCTCAGCGCTGTGTTTCTACGGGCTGCAGTAGGAGTCTCTTTGGAGGTAGATATTTTACTACTCCCTGATCGAGAGAATCCTGATCCGCGCGCATGTCTACACACTTCGGTACCCATAGTACCAAGAGTACATGACCCCCCAGAGTGTGCAACTCCCACATACCCTGCTGTCCCGACAGAATTTCAAGTTGATGTCATTATTTATGACGCAATGCTCCTTGCACCAGTGATTTCAGGGGCGTAGCAGCCGCTCCGGCCGGTCCGGCTTTGGCCGGACCACTTTTTCGCCCGACCACGTTTTTTTGAAGGCCCTGCAAGGCTGCATGGCCTACACCAGGGAGTCGTAGGGGGTCGTACAACTTACTGGCTTGCACCAGGGAGCCCTACGCGTCCCTACCGTCGAATGTGAACTAGCAAAGTCCACGACGGCGCCGAACGCCGTCGATCGTTGAACATCGCAACGGTCTTCCGGTCACGTTTTGTACTATATTGTACAAATCGTACAGATCGCTTCAGAACGGGGAGCTGGCTGTTACGTCCCGTACCGTCGGCCTTACGTCGAATGTGAAGTAGGCTTCACACATGCGAGTGTACGTGCATGTAGGGCTACCGGTATGGCCTACGACCATGTACACTGTGTGATGCGCATCCCCGGACGCTTTTCGCCTTCGCTGATCCGCTGCTTTTTGTGTTCCACTTTTTCCAAAGAATTCTCGTAGTTGTGTGTCTTTTTCCTCTCTGATTGCTGCTTGTGTGGACACCATGGAGGCTCATCAGCCTCGGAACTTTGTCACATATTATTATTTCTTGCCTGCATTTCTTTTCCTCGCTAGTTTTGCTGAGAGTTTTTGTACACCTATTCAATTGTGGATGAGATAACAGGCTTTGAATGCTGTCCATAGTTGTTTTCTTGGAAGTAGTAAAACAATGCCAAAAGTGCCAAGAATGCAGGATTTTGCACCCTAATGTCAAAATTTTTCCCCCCGACCTCCTGGCCGGACCACCGCCAACGGCGGTGCTACGCGACTGGATTTACAACATGTGTACGGGTGTCAACGCATCATACGTTTTTCTTTGCTATAATTTGTACAGGATTGATCGGCTTTGGTCAACCACAGGTGCCGGATTCGTCTGATAATCCGTGTACAGTGCGCATTGCATCATCAAAATGACGTCATCTTGAAATTCTGTCGGGACAGCACCCATAGTGGAGTTGCACACTCTGGGGGGTTATGTACTCTTGATAGTACCCCAATCTCACCCGCCGGGTGAAAACGGTGCTGAGGCAATCGTCCAACTGGCCGTACATGCTCCTGTCACCTCCCTGTACTTTACTACTCCCTTATCCGCATCATTAAAATTGTCGCTTCCAAGAGCGATTTTTCAAATTTATTTTGTCCACTCAAAGGGCAAAGAAATCAGCTAGAAATTGAGGCAGAGCATTGTCGACGGACCAAGCGTTCGTTTGTGGCCTTCCGCTTCGCTGCACTTAGCAGCTAAGGTCGACGTTTTCATCAGAGTTTGAGGCAGACCATTCAGCACTCAACCATAAGCTGAACAAGACATGCCTTCAAATTCATGTCAAGAAACTTCGTTTTCAAGCCATCCATGCCTCCAGGTGGCAGTCGATGACGGCAAAGTAGCATTTTTTTTACAAGTACGCTGTAACGCCCTTCTACCGGGATAGGGTAAGCAGTTCCGCACCTTCTTTCCTTGGCAGGCACTTCACTGATTTTGTTGGTATTTTCAGACCTGCTACCTGCGCCACACGTAGAGCATTAATGTTTAGGAATTTGAACACTTTGTTTTTGCCATCGTTAACTTCAGTATTTAATATTCAGGAGAGATACCAGGATTCTTGTACCTGAGCTTCCAGTCGATAAATGCCCACGCGAATGCTGTGCGAAGGCACAAACTCCAGAAAAACGATACTCGCTTTGGGGTGGAATAGTGCGCAGCACGATGAATTTGTTTGGTGCGGAAGAGAGCTCCGACAAAATCCAAGATTACCACGGCTTCAGTAGCAAGTAAACATTGAGCAGGAAGGGTCGCACCAATGTTCGAACACAGAAAACAGCGATTCTGACAGTCGGACTAAGACGATCAAGTCACAAATATTGCAATGTGCGAAGCGACAATTTTAATGACGCAGAGGAAGTACATGTATAACATAAGACTTAGATGATTTGTTTCACTAAACCTTGCTTGTCTTGCCTGATTTTTCAATTTGGTGGCATGAGAAACGGAGAAGCGACATGCCTTTTGACACAAGGGTGGCAGGTGTGTGCTGGACATCGATTCACATGTTATCCCCCAGTTACATTTTTCGGAAACCATGTGCCTTAGGGAACACAGATGAAGAGCATGATGACCACATTGTGGCTGTGTGAATGGTAGCTTATCGCATGCATGTACCACACTGCACAGCACCATGCTGCTCCTGAATAGAGAGACGTCTCTTTGAGCTACATTTGTGCCTTGATTTGCCACCTGGCTGACGAAATGAGCGATGGCAGATACTACAGTCCCCACGCTGAGATTGGTCAGGGTAAGGTCTGGCGAGGCCAGACAGAATGGCAGATACCTTACAATCTGAAAGATCCTGAACGATCTCCTACCGGGCCAGATGTGCAATGCCGATGTGCCGAAGATGAGACAAAATAACATTCTTCCAGCAAGGCGGGGACCACACGTAGGCCGAGGCCATGGTAAAAAGCAAAGCAAAAGCTGCTTGGGCACACGAACATCTGGCATGCGTGACACATGGCCAAGCCATCCAAGCCACCGCTTCCGCAGCCGTTAGGACAATATCAGTGGATCATTCAGGTTTCTCAACGCCGCTCCCTCGTAACGTGTTCCACCCTGCCGTTGTTTTCACGAAACACGCAGGATACTACGTGTGCAGGTTTGGTGGAAACTATCAAGTTGCCGGAATCACGCACACACATACTAGTACGCGCGAGCGTGCGGGCGCGAGCACACACACACACACACACACACACACACACACACACACACCGACACACACTATACGTAGGCTAATTGCTAACCTGTGCAATTAAATCCATCACCAGTAAATCCAGGATCACAGGTGCATAAAAAGCTTCCCAAAGTGTTGTTGCATTGTGATGATGAACCATTACACATGGTGTTACACTCATCGATATCTATAAGAGGAATAGATTAACACACATGCTGTTACACTCATCGATATCTATAAGAGGAATAGATTAACACACATGCTGTTACACTCATCGATATCTATAAGAGGAATAGATTAACACACATGCTGTTACACTCATTGATATCTATAAGAGGAATAGATTAACACACATGCTGTTACACTCATTGATATCTATAAGAGGAATAGATTAACACACATGCTGTTACACTCATTGATATCTATAAGAGGAATAGATTAACACACATGCTGTTACACTCATCGATATCTATAAGAGGAATAGATTAACACACATGGGTCAATCAACCAGGTACAAGTACAACCCCCCCCCCCCCCCCCCCCCCCGCCCACCATATCGTCTGATGTCACTACTGATGTGCTCTTATTTGCCGATGACGCTACTCTTGGGAGAGCAGCCGGAGGACCTAACCAACAACAAATGGTCCACCCCTCCAGGCCGCCACTGATGGCGTTGTGCAGTGGGCTGATTCAGTCGGAGGGTGCTTCAACCCTTCGAAGTCTTGCACCATGCAGTTCTCTCCTAGAAGTCGTGCAGAACGTGCCCACCCTACTCATCCGACTCCGCACCTGAGAATGCAGGGAGATGACGTGTCTGATGTAACGACTCACCGACACCTTGGAGTCATCTTGGACTCTAACCTCGACCATCACGACAAAGTTTCGCCAGCGAGCAGTCCTGCTGATCCACATGACCAAGCGTATCACCCCAGCCGTAGCAAGCCGCTTGTACACTGGATATGTTCGACCTGTGGTTGAATACACCTCATCCCTCTGGCAATTTCAACTCTCCAGTGCTCAGGCTACTACCCTTGAACGGCTCCAGGCAAGAGTGGCACGTGTGATCCTGCGGCAGTATGGCGTGTACCCTCCTCAAACGGAGCCGAAAGCCTCACTCTTCGCGCACCTCCAGTGGCCCAGCCTCGCATGGCGAAGACACATTCAGTGCCTTCTTGAGCTCCACCACCTTATCAATAGCCAGATGACGACCCTGGAGGACCTAGGTTACTCAGTGTCAAACAGCGCCAGGCGCCCCCAACATCTACTCCCACCTGCTAGAGCCAGCACACACACCCGTGCCACCTTTCTCTTTGTCACCACTGCCACATGGAACTCCCTCCCGGCTGCCATTCGTACTGTATCCAGCCCAAAATATTTTACCGCTCTTGTCAGCACACACTTTGCTATCACCCGTTATGAGCCCTCTGGTTTCATTCCAAGTAGAGTAGCGATGTCATAGAGCACTGTGTTTTAGTACTACCACCCCGCATCATTCTATTTCATATTTTCATTTTTCTCCTCAGCTTCTTCTTCATAAGCTGTTGATGGAGACTCCCTCGATTTAGGCTAAGGCCTGTGGAGAATCCATAAATACAAATACAAAAATACAAATACAAATACTACTTCCTCAACTATTATTCCCATTCACATCAGGCAGGAGGAGTTCAGAATAAACTGTTTTAATTTTGAGGAGTCAATACCTCACTCAGCCTCTCAATACGGCTCACTCAGCCTCCGCAGCCGGGCCCTGCCCGGCCGCCTCCATACGGCTCACTCAGCGTCCGCAGCAGGCCCTGCCCAGCTGCCATACACACATTCACACAGCTCTAAGCTGTCACTCACTCGGAGCCTGGCAAAGCAATTGACAAACCCTCCTATTCCCAGTCCAGATCCGGATCCAGCCAATCGCACATGACCAGACTGTCCTGTGAAATCAGGAAAGTCAATATAATATACATGTACATGAACTGACTTTTGACCATAATAATATTATGACTGTATGGTGCAGTGTAAAATGAATGCACAATGAAGACGTTTATTGTACAGTAAGCTAACGTCACTAAATTCTAACCTTTGCAATCTGGTTGGTGTGTAAGCGTCCCGTTCGACACACAGCTGGTATTGTGCACTGTTTTACCAGGTGAGTAGCCATTATTGCATGCAACATATCTTGACGTACCCACTGCCAACCTGGGAATGGCATTGGTTGTGGTTGTGTTGCCTACAGCTGGGCAGTGTGTGGCTGTGTGGTAAAGGAAGAGATAAAAAGAACAACGAAACCAGATCACACAGTCGTATAGCAGTTACAGAACTGAGTGCACGTTTTGTGCACATAGAATGTGCTACTGTTTTTATTTGATGCAGTTCCTTCTGGCATTAAAATAGACTGTACTCACAGACATAGACAAAATCCTAAAATTAGGCGCATAATTATGTGGGTGAAAGCAGACCATTATACGGCAGTTATGTAGCGGACGAAAGCAGGCCATTACACGGCAAATGCAGGATTCTGCAGTCAGTATGCACAAGTTATCTGTCATTGCATAGCTGCCAAGTATCACGATTTTTGGATGCACACAAAGCAACAACAGACCACCCAACTTAGTCAAAAAATCACTCAAGTCTTTCAATATACTTTTTAGGCTAAGGTCCAGGGATCGATTTACTTTGATTTGTTTTACACAGTTTTACAATTAACTAGAAACCCCCAGTATTGATTAGCAGTTTTCCTTCATTAAAAGTATGCATGTATTTTATCAGAACACTAGCAGGATTTTGTACAGAAGAGCAAAATAGCTGGCTGCAGTTGACCTGAATGTATTAACGTTTAAGAGGCCAAGTAAAAAAAAGGTTGTTGATCCTCAGAATTTCCGAAAAATCTGGGCGGACGGGAGGGTTTTATTTTTATTTAATAACTTTTTTTATATCAGCATCGACCGAACATCTTGAAATCTTAGCATGTATTACATCTATGGGGTTATGGGCGTACTACCATTGTTGGTTGTGACTGCTACCAGTCTGCCTGGGCACACTCCAAACACTTTGAACATGTGCAGATTACTCTGTGATACAATTTCCTGCCGCCATGCAATACGGGTTCATCGATCAACAACAGCTTCGGATGCGGTACACGGTGGCCGCACAGTTTCCATGAATGCAGGCGTAGATATCAGGTGGTACTACACTGTACACTGTACAGACTACAGTGCCATGTATTGTAGTTGCCAGATTTCACACAACTACACTGGAATCACACTGCACTGCATGATGTCGCTACGGTAAAAGCACGTTGACGCTGTACACGAGAGCTCGCGTACGCGCGTACTGCTAAAAAAAGTTCGCGTTTCGCTACGAGTTTTCTACCGTTGATGACGAAAATAAAAAAAATAAAAAAAATCCTGGGACGGACTGAAAAATCGGGGTGGGCGCTGACGATCAACAATCAATTATTTTCACTTGACCTAAAGGTTTTCTCTTGGGTGTGTTACATGTTCAGCGTCTATCCGACTTCGAGTTCTTCACGACACAATGTCCTTCAACAGGGCAGTTCCACGGATTCCTTCAACAAAGAAAGCTCGGGAAAGCGCTCAAGCGATCGTGACACACCGTGTAAAGCGCACAGTACTTTCGCTTTTCTCCAATTCTTTATCGGAACGAGTCGAAACTCCTGGCGCGTCCAGTTCTTTTCCCTCTTCTGGACAGTGATCAGATTCAGGAGACTAAGAACCATCTACTTCAACTGTGGATAACAGATGTGTATGTACCATAAAGTACCGTTGATCCGCCCCCTCTCTAATTCCCGCCCCCTGTCGATTTTCTCCTTGTGAAGCGACTTCGGCGTATACAACGAAATACGATGTTGAACCGACGCATGCACTGCTGTACACAATACTTGCCAATCCAGGATCAAAATGTGCACAATCCAGCGCATCGAGTCTGAACTTCTATGTTGTTGTACATCGTACTGCACTTGACAGCCTTGATCTAATTCCCGCCCCCTGCCGAAAACCCAGCTGGGAAGCGACATGGCGTGGGGGCGGATCAACGGTACTTTACGGTACATGTACATACTTTTTTATATGTTCTACTCCGAGCCAAAATTTCATGGCTTTGCAATGACCAGAAGCGCCATACCAAGCAGGTGAGTTTTGATGTGTTGCTTCACACTGCGACTTGAGTTTTACGACTTTCGAAAAATCAACTTCTTGTCGCAGGTAAACAGCGGCTCGCCTCTCGCCAATAAAGCACCGCATACCAGCCAAAGCTAATGGAAGCACACACACACGGCTTATTGTTACTCTGTACTGGCCGTCGTGGAGCGATAGCAATGACCTAGTTTTAGACCCAGAGTGAATTCGATGTGCACTCTAAAACCTGTCCGGTTTGGAGCCACCTCTGATTTGAAGCGAAAAATTGGGCAACTTGAAGGCAACGGATCAACACAAAAGAGTGGCTCAGTTCGATTGACTCTGGCCTCAGAGCAAACTTCAATATGCCAGTTTCCTTCAACAAACATTTCGAGTGAACAATCAACGCTGATGATCGGTTTGGGTCTATACACATTTGGCTGTCAAGCCGTTCCGGTATCGAACCGTCGCCTCTACCATGTTCCAGACATGCCAGTCTGCCTGATACAAGAGGAAAGTCGCTATATCCGATGTATTTTCACTGTTTTTCAGGTCTTCGGGCACCAAAATAGTGTCAGTATATTCGATCTGTCGTTTTTTTCGAGGTCGTTATACCTGATCCATAATGTACAGAAATGACTTACTAACGACTTGGGCAACGGAATTGTGTCCCTAAACTCGATTTGTCGTTATACCCAAGGTCGTTATATCCGATCTCCACTGTACTACTTATATTCTCATATGCGAGCATTGCTCTCACACCGTTTTCACACACTTCCTTTGACAGGCTGGAACGACTCCAGCGGAAAGCCGCCAGAAATTGTCTCCACCTTCCCCCTTGCCCACATTTAGAACACTCGCACCTTTTGCATTGCATCAAATGGTCAACGTTATGTTCACGCTTTAAAGTTAACCCTTTGTGGGTCTTACTCAATGTATGTGAGGGGTGGTCACGCAAACACGCGTACAAACAACGAGCCATAACTCGAGTTCTGTGAGTTGTAGGTATGGGTAAACTATATATTTTCAAAATCTGTATGCCTGGACGAGTCCAGAAAACACAAATATGACTATGTCCAGGCAAGGGTATGACCCGTGGTAGCCCTTCAAGTTGACAGAAAATACAATTGCGAACAAAAACACACAAAAATCACAGCACGAAGTGCATACCAAGTTCGTGATGGAGCTGAAGTCCTATGATAAACAATCAGGTAAGCGCTACGTCTTGGTGAAGAATATATGCTCCTAATTCCGTCCTTGAACTCCAAAACCTCGCCATCGGCGATGCACCAGCAGCAACAGTTCCACAATATCACAATTTTGGTTCGTTCACCTCAGCGCCGCTCGCGTCAGATTCACTCTCGCTCAGATGAGTACTCAGGCGCGATGTCACGCGTGCCGTGATTCTCACGGCCAGGCGAATCAGCTGATCGCACCTGACAAGTCCTTGTAAGAGTTGCTGTTGCTGTGCTTCCTCGCTGGTTGGTAAATTTGATTTCTTCATTCGGGGACGATTTATTTGAGCTAGGAGGACTCAACGGAGCTCTCTTTCTCACGACATTACACTGGAAATCCTCCAGGGACATCCAGCCTAGACTGGTGCCGTCAGTGTCCTCAGAAAGCTTTTCTGACACGGCTTCAAGAGATGCACTCCCATTCTCGAAATGCGCGCATGGCGGATGGTCGTCTTTTCCAATTTCACCAGACTTCAGTCGATCGATACCGCAAAAATTTGTATGGTAAGTATGGTTGTTTTTTACACCGTTGGAAAGCCTTGGACCTCAGCTACGAGTGGAGCACCATTTTAGTTGTCTCCTAGCAACAAAACTCAAAGAAAATGCGATTTTCCTGTAAGGGTCACATACGACCCTTACGCTTATGTGAGACCCATAAAGGGTTAAACATATGAGCCCCGGCCAGCGAAAACCAGCACTTGTGTACTTGATATCAGTCATCAAAATGTGACGTCAAAGTTTGGGACGCGCAGTGAGCTGGCTTTTGAAGATTCTTTTTCGATCGAGTGGGTGTCTTTGTTGTCAAAGGAGTTTCAAGTGTCTTCAAATGTCTCTGGTCAATTGATTTTAGCGCTAAGTGAGAGCTCGTCACACGGAGGTTGAGTTTAGACACAGCGATGGCGACAGGTGTCGCGACAAGGACTTAGGTCCAGAGTTATCAGCGTGAGACTCCCTGTACGAAGCGGCGCTGAAAGTTAGTTCGCGATCGGAATTATTTCTTTGGTGGCGATCTCGCTGAGTTTGTCCAGAAGTGGCGAGTTTCATATGCATAGCAACGAAGAGCCCTCATAAAATCGACACTGGATACTGGTGGCGACGATAGTCAGTGCTGAAGTAATAGCGACTGCGAGGAGAAGCTGACTGTCGACCCGCTGAGCGATCCGTATTTCTACATCGACAACAATGATGTTGCAGACACTGATGGAGGGCTTCTCACGGCGCAAAATAGAGCGTAGTATTCTCAGTACTCTACCTTGCCAGACGACGCCAAGCTGGCTGCTGCCTGTGCTGAGAAAGGGATCCCTAAAAACTCAAACCGGCTGAACACTTTGGGGCAACATGTTCACGTGCTACAAAACGCGAGCATTCGCTCATATCATTGAAATACAATATTATTATGCTGAAATCATGGTCTGAGTGAAAGTGTGCAAGGGAGTGGATGTCAGTGGTATTGGTCAGTACATCTATCAGCATGGCAAGCTTTGGGACAACGCCCAAACTGCCAGCGCAGAGGTCCTTGAACACAATTTGGAAGGCCAGCCACCAATCATCGTTTTGCACTCTGGTGTTGTAAAGAAGGTAGTGATGTATACGGAATATCGTCACCGTGACTTCTGAACTACTCATGCCTGCACAGGCTGCAGCACCAAGAGGGCAAGCCTGACTTGCATTCTATTTACTTACATGTACCTGTTCCACATCACAGTCAGAAACTGTAGGATCAACTTGCATGGAGTCACTCGGCATGGATGCTGCGCCAACTGTACTGAATCTTGACCTCTCTGACTTCAAACTCTATTTTCCATGCTTTCGCTTATCAGATTGTCACCAAACTTAATAACTTGAATGATTAATAGTGTAGAAACAGTTTCGAGGGAAAAAATAATTTTTGAAAAAATTACACATGTTCAGGTTTCTGCTGGCTGGGGCTCACATACTCTTCGCACATTCTCTGCAACACAATTATGCCCCACCACGTATACTCTCGTTGCATACCGCTCGCACGGTGTAACCCTTGGATAATTTATGTCGCTCTTTACTTGGCGATTAAGAGAGCATGTCTGAGAATACCAAAGTATGTGTGCAAGTCGATCTCTCCGATTTCGCTCAAAATTTGCAGGTAGGTTCCCTTTGGGGTGTGGATCGATTATGCAAAGCCCTTGAAAACGTTTCTGAAGGGACCCTTGAAATTTGCATACCCCTCAAAAATGGCCGAAATATCACATTATTTATGGGTCTAGAAACGAGTCACGCCACAGCGTATACGAACAAGCTATGAACAAAACTCCATCAAGCCAACATTGCCTCACCTTAGAAGAGTTCCTGGAGCAGTACCGCTTAGCCACGCTAGCATCCCAGAAGACGAGGTCCATCACCCCCTGACGCCACAAATGATCGACTTGAAAATAGCCAATTTACAAGCGCTGGCAAAACAGCCAGCTACGTCGTCAATTGGCCAGAACTATACACCGGCAGATAGTAGAACACCTCTTCTAGCGCTGAGGACATGTCCCCCATCTTCCTTTTGGGGTTTTCTTGAAATAAACTTTTTTGAATTTTTCCACTCGACCATGCTGAAATACGGCCAAAGTCATACCTGCGCAGGAAAGCTCGCCCTCCGCGACGTCTCCTCAGCATATTCTACTCCAACACTACTCCCAAGGCCGCAGAAAAATGTGTAGTGTTGACTCTGACAAGGAAAAGCAGCGGTGAGCACTTGTCACTCCAAACGACAAGCTTCTCCTTGCGCCACCAATAATTTTTTGTGCGACTGTTGATGCAAAAGTGACTGAAGGCCTGAGCGCAGTTTTTGAATTTTATTGCAAGATGCACGGTGAAATCACGTGCCTTGTGACGCAAGAATGCCAAGTCGCGTGGCCCACGGCTCACGAGATTTCAGAGTCACCTTCGTCAAGTGCGCTTGTTGCTTGCCTTGAACGCCCGTTGGTCTGGAAGTGATCACGCTTGTGTTGTTACTGCGCTCAAGAACACGCTGACCGTGTTGTAGGCCTACGAACCGGGACTTTCCCTGACCATGTAGGTCGAAGACCAGTGAAATGATGATGAAATCACATTCTTCATGACGTAAGAAATCTCTCATGCAGTTCACGCGACAAGTGCGTGCAGCCAGTGCTGCTCGCGTGCCAGTCAACACAAAGGGACCAAGCTAGCCGCTTTTGTCGAGCATCGACATGAAAACAAGGGACTTTTACTGTTGGACTATGTTCGGGATTGCAGGAGGTAAGTGTGAAAGACGAATAACTCTCCATGCTGTACGGGGCATATTTCAACGGCTTGCTGCCATTGCAACACTCCTAGGACAGTTTGTGGGGTTCTCAGCAGTTCAAGCTGGAAATGAAGCTCATCTTACCTCTGCCATCATGGTCTGTTCCGAGTAGCGTTCCAGGCACATTCGCGATCGATGGCCGCCTATCGTGATGCAGGAAGCGTTATCCTACGTCACAGAGCACGCGATTTCACTGTGCATCTTGCAATAAAATTCAAAAACTGCGCTCAGGCCTTCAGTCACTTTTGCATCAACAGTCGCACAAAAAATTATTGGTGGCGCAAGGAGAAGCTTGTCGTTTGGAGTGACAAGTGCTCACCGCTGCTTTTCCTTGTCAGAGTCAACACTACACTTTGTTCTGCGGCCTTGGGAGTAGTGTTGGAGTAGAAATTGCTGAGGAGACGTCGCGGAGGGGCGAGCTTTCCTGCGCAGGTATGACTTTGGCCGTATTTCAGCATGGTCGAGTGGAAAAATTCAAAAAAGTTTATTTCAAGAAAACCCCAAAAGGAAGATGGGGGACATGTCCTCAGCGCTAGAAGAGGTGTTCTACTATCTGCCGGTGTATAGTTCTGGCCAATTGAGGACGTAGCTGGCTGTTTTGCCAGCGCTTGTAAATTGGCTATTTTCAAGACGATCATTTGTGGCGTCAGGGGGTGATGGACCTCGTCTTCTGGGATGCTGGCGTGGCTAAGCGGTACTGCTCCAGGAACTCTTCTAAGGTGAGGCAATGTTGGCTTGATGGAGTTTTGTTCATAGCTTGTTCGTATACGCTGTGGCGTGACTCGCTTCTAGACCCATAAATAATGTGATATTTCGGCCATTTTTGAGGGGTATGCAAATTTCAAGGTTCCCTTCAGAAACTTTTTCAAGGGCTTTGCACAATCGATCCACAACCCAAAGGGAACCTACCTGCAAATTTTGAGCGAAATCGGAGATATCCACTTGCACACATACTTTGGTATTCTCAGACATGCTCTCTTAATTTGCTTGCCCACCCGGCTTCGTGAAATCCTTTCTCGCAGATGTCGCAGGTCACAAGGCACGTCGCCAGAAGTTGTATTGTGATTCGATCTTTATTCTGCATTACACCTGAAAACCGTGAGGTCCAAGACACCAACCTTTTAATGCATGAACTTTTAGCCTTTTAAGTTGAAAGTTTGTTGGCATGTGTATATTGGTAGCGACATTGGCAACGATTTCATGCGAAAGGTGCTCCTCTCACCGGAGCCCAAGTAAAAGATCTCGGCGGACCTCGGTCTTTTACTCGGCCTATATTTCCCACAATAGACCTTGTATTGGTCATATTGGACAATACTCCGTCACAATAGGAACTCTCTTTGTTGAAAATATCACTGGTCCCTTGCCGTTCAGCCTAAAGATGTTTAACTGTACCGACAGAGAACACCACTTACGCACGCAGCCACCAGCAGATGTTGTCCAAACTGTATCAGTACCGGTGCATGGGCAGTCGATAGCCCCGGGTATGTTGGCCAGCTTGATATGGGCACAAGACGTCACGTTGGTATTCCTGCAGATGGTGGAGCAAGCTAAATGCAGAAAGCCACATAGAAGCACAAACGGAACACACTAAGACAACCTGTCGTTCAGCTCACCGTACCATAAGCACCTATCCAATGTAGAGCTCAGCACACTGATTTCATCGGTTCTGAAGTTTTACTCAACATAAAACGGTAATTCAAAGTCCTGCAGATGTCTGAAGCTCAAGCGTTTCATTTGATCCCCACTACGCATTCGCAGTGCAACCATGAGTCACAGCGATAGTCCTCGTTTGAGCACTGCCGCGCTCGCCAGGCACGGAATTTGAACACAAATTCAAGCCCGTCGTGTTTCGCTCTTCGGCACTCAGTGATTCTTCACTGCACCATATCAACATACACACTTTTGGGAAGCTTGTTCTATCAGCTTTCCGACGAGCCCTCAATGTTGGCAATCGGAGAAATGACAAAGGAGTTACGACGATTTGTACATTGATCTATATGCACTGCATATACTTATAATTTGAAATGGGCGTACTCGTCTCCAGCTATACCTTATAAACGGATATATTCGTTCTTCGTCCTCAATGGGTTAATGGAGATAAATAGGGCAGATATCTGTATTTCGTGGGAAAAAATGGGGGTGCGGCTTATAGTCCGGAAAATGTGGTAGATGTAGCGTACTCACTTGGTTTGAAGACGCGGCTTTATTTTTTTCAATGTCCATTTTTCAGAGGCTTCTGTTAAGTGGACCTTCTACTCAAGCGGGGCTTGTATGATTTCAATCCAAACCAGTCTACTTCGGAAGCAAAGTATTGTGTCGTAACGAGCATACACATACTCATTCATGAGCGAGGGCTGTAGAAAACTGCTACAGAGTGCAAGTTGTGCCGAACCCAACCAGTACAGTACATGTAGTGACACCTATGGATCATTACCGTAGGTTTTGGTTCTTTTGTTGTCCTACACTTACATGTATAACCACAATGAGGATTCAAACAAGTTTTCGTACAACACTCATCAGGAATCTTCGTTGTACTTGTTTGAATTCTCATTTTCTCTACACTCTTTCTTCACATTTTCATCGTTTTATTGCACATTGTCTCCACAGTTTTACATTACATGAATAAAGTGTACACAAATGTCGATCCAGCTTGCATCACTGATTGCGGTTATAAAAAATTGTTGTCTCCTCGCCGTTTGTTTGAATACTTATATGTATCTGAAATTTATTTGTAGTTTCATATGTCCCCTGCACATAAAAATGCACTTTTGTCCAGATCTATAGGTACTAGTAGAGTACAGGATTACATGTTAGCTCGATCGTTAGCACAAAATACACGCTCGTTAGTTTTGGACTCGGGAGGAGAGCCAAGGATAAATTTTGTAGTCGTGCAAACTATCGGTTTCTAAAACAAATATTGAATCCATCAGGCATTTTTGACCCCACAACCTTTTGTCGCTTCACAATTTTTGTTATATTATAAGAACAGCCCCTTATTAGTGATTCAGTCCATGTGCAGAACTGACTTGCATTGCTTCCCCGTGCTGCACAGAGTAGTGAGTTGCTGTGCATAATCATAAATAACTGTTGTAGTGATGTCTAGGCGGCCACAGTGCTACACAGAGTTGTTCTCTTGGAGCACACACTTCACTTCCTCAACTAATGAGTTGCATACGCTCTGAAACAATACGTATCAGATAAGCCGTAATACTTTCTTGCAGCGGTGTTGAGTGAAAAGTTCGCTATGTTTCTCGTGAGATTTCTTTGTTTACATACCATACCTTCTGAAGCAATATGTTTCGGAATCGGATAAGCCGTAATAATTTCTTGCAGCGGTGTTGAGTGAAAAGCTCGCTATGTTTCTCTTGAGATGTTCTTTGTTTACACTCTACACCTAGCCCAAAGGGTAATCATCAGAAACTACTCAGATGGTGAGCCAAAGAAAATATTAAATTGAAACAAAGAATACGGTGGGGCACAAGTTATGCGTTAGAGCCCAACAACTAAACCCGGTTTTAAACAGCCAGACGTACACAAGGTAGCACCTGACTGACAAGGGGTATTGAGACATTCCACGGCAAGGAAGTGAGCTTGAGCACTGCTCGATAGCGCTAACCAACGGCCTTCCAACTTCGAAGGTTCATGGGTATTAGTGAACACAAGCTACATTCCAAGGCAAGGTGGAATGCTGGCTTGGTACGATAATGGGACGGTAAGACCATTGAACAATACGGAAGGCCGTTGGTTAGCGATATTGAGCAGTGCTCAAGCTCACTTCCTAGCCCCGGAATGTCCCCAGTTCTCCTTGTCAGTCAGGTGCTACCTTGTGCATGTCTGGCTCTTCAAAATCTGGTTTAGTTGGTGGTCTCTAACGCATAACTTGTGCCCCACCGTTTTCCTTGTTTCAATTTGGTAAGCAGCAGCTTAATTCCCGTAGCTATGCAGAAGACGTTACTTCAGTAATTTGGTATTTGTTTGTTTGTGTGTTTGTTTGTTTGTGTCACGCCTGGCGCTATCCGTATCTGACGGCAAAAAGCATAGAATGTTATAATTTTTTCAATTCTCCTATTTTTTTTAGGCATATCCTGGGATTCGAACCCGCACTATCGCCCTACATGCATTCCCCCATACATTTCGCATTCATACCCATTCTTCCAAGTTGCTTCACGTTATTATCTTGCGTTTGAAAGCCCTATTTGAATATTGCGGCCAGCTGTATGTGGCCAGCTGTGTTTGATGGTACGGTACGGGAGACGGTGTCGTATCACCCTCGATCATACCTGTCCCGTACCTATCCCCTACCGTACCGTGCCATCAAAGACGGCTGGCCACAATGCATAATAATTATTCAAATAGGGCTTTCAAATGCAAGATCACAATGTGATACAACTTGGAAGAATTAGTATGTATGCGAAGTGTATCGGGGGATGCATGCAGGGCGCGCGATATTGCGGGTTCGAATCCCAGGTTATGTCTTAAAAAAGGATTTTTTTAAAGAATTTATAACATCCCTATGCTTTTTTTTGTCTAGGTCATTAAGGCAAAAAAGCATAGCGTAGGGCCCTGAGCTTCCAAGCTCTCTCGTTATTTATCTACAACTTGGAGTCATGTTGCTATTGTCACTAGGTCGGCCAGAGACCGCATGTGGTGATGGTGGGATTAACCACCTATGCCAATGTCAGCACCACAACTGACACCGCAGTGACCAACCGCACTGTAACCACAAAAGGTGATTTCTCTATTGACAACTGCAATGTAACACAGCTCTGACACATTCATTTCGAGTGTGATAAAGATTGCAGCACCGCCCGAAGGCGCGCATTCCTAGCAAAGTTGATGTTGTTCACCACTATGATGTGTGAAGTACAGGGAATTTATCGACATTTCACCTGTAGATTGTTAACATTTGCAAAGACTTACCATCACAAGTAGGTGGACTCGGTGACCAATGACCTGATGCCATACATGTCAGTGATGTGACATCCATGCTACTGCTAGAGACGAAGCCATCCTTACATTGCACAGCAACAGTAGTTCCTGGCGTAGTGCTGAAATTCGAAATTGTGTCGTAGTTGTTGGAACTGGTTGGTGAGATGTCCTTACAAGGAGCTGAAAAGAGTGGAAAATACAAATCTCGTAACTTCATCAATTGGCAAGCAGGCGATTTGAACATGCACTAGGATGCAGGCAGGCATAGTGGGATGGTCTGAGATCATGATTGAGACACAGAGGGTATCAGCTTCAGGACCTGCTTGGAAGCGGAAAGACTTTTTCCAGCCGTGATGCGACCCCCAGTTAATTTGGGAACTGGTGGCCTGGCACGAGGAAAATATGGATGCAGTGAATGGGATTTTCGGTCATGCTGGTGAGCTGATCTACTCACCTCCCACCGCTTTAGGAGCTGCATGTGCACCTTGATCCTTGAAGGGTGGTTGGCGTTCCTACTGATGCGGAAAACTTGGCCTCTAGCCAAGTCTGAAGGGAACCGTGATTCCTTTTAGGAGGTGAATAACACTTTCTGGACATGAAAAAAGGAAGCCCTCGGGCTGCATGTTGAAGTTTTTAAGGTTTTTCTTTTGTATTTCTTGTATTCTCTAATCCTTCATCTTTCCTAATAAAATGGCACCTTTACGCTGTACTCCAATGTACTTGATAGGAGGACGTTTTTTGAGGTGATATTTTTGCCCGTAATTCAGCTTATCATTTTCTGGATATGAAAGTAAAAAGCGTCTAGGGATTGTATTACGTGTCATCGCCGAACTGGGATCCCGGCTACAGTCCATTCCGAAAAAGATGGACTTCTAGCTTTTTGGCCCTGAATGGGTCAAACGTAGAGTTTTTTTTTATAGAGTTTTTCCTGCAATCCCCTATGGAATCCTCTTCCAATAATGTTTCCGAAGTCTATTTCTCCAAAAAGCAAACCGTAACAAGAATAAGATTTCGGCCAGGTTTGCCCCAAGAGCACTGAATTGGGAAAAACCATCAAAGTCCAGGCCGTTTGACCCTTCCTGCAACAGTGCATTGTGCGCTTCGAACCCCAGTTCAGGTACCCTTTTTGGACCCTTTTTCAAATTTTCAAATTTCGCAGCACTGCATGCACTGTACAGCTGTGTACGATGAATCTTGAAAAATCGCCAAATACGTGAACCCGCTAGAGCCAGGGCCCATCTTTTTGTGAATGGACTGTAGGCGGGCTAGAAAAAGCAAATACTAGCAGGCTACTGGGCAAGCATGCAGAGGAGTTGTAGTATTGTAATGGCCGCTAGGCTTGGGCGGATAATGCTAATGGCAATTTCAGAAAACGATATTATGATGTGACGTATTAAATCCATGTCATGCAGATGAATCGGCAGCCATCTTGCCCGACAATAATCATGAGGATGTAAATATGGAAAAGTGACAACAACCAACTTTGGACAAAGAAAAATCTGGCTACTGATAGTCAGTTTGACTTGTTCAAGCATTTGCTACTCGAAGACCTACAGCTATGTTGAATAGAGGCCGTAGATTGCAGTACATTTGTGGTGGTATATATATACTAGAAAATTAAATAAATTCACTGAGAGGGTGAAAGTTCGGAGCGGGCGCTGACGATATTAAAACAATCTCTTTTTTTACATGGCTTAATACTACCAAGAGTCCACAAACAAGAGTATGCAACTGTGATCTCTTTTCTATGGGCCAGATGCGCGGCGCGCTGCCTTCATTACATCATTTAGCTGCAGTCCGCGCACTGCGGAAAATCAAACACCGCACTTTCCCTCTGGTTTGAAATGAACTTTTGTACGTAACTGGAGTTCACGCGCCAGAATTCAGAGATCGCGTAGGTACTGGAACGAATCGAGCAAAAACGGATGGGCTCGTACGAGAAATTGTGAGTTTGAGTTAGGGGTCAAACGGGTGTACCTTTAACTAACGAACGGGTAATTTTCTTAATGGGCGGGTTAACGGGTACCCTTTAGCAGCCGTTTTTAATTTTTGCGCAATTTTCATATAAACCATGATAGTAATTTATCTGTTCTCAGGTTGCATTTTGATATCACATTGTGATTCGCCAATTGATTTGAGTCTGATAGTTGCAGAGGTAGATCTACTAGGTACGAAAATGCAACAACAATGCAGGCATGCAGTTTGGAGTTGTAAATGATTGACTCCCGCCTGGAATGCACAATCCCAGCAGCGTTGTTCGGTACTGATGTGATCACCGAAATCCAAACGAGTACCCTTTTACTAACGGTACCTGGGATTAACGGGCGAGTACCCGGGTACCCGGAACACCCCTTTGGCCCCTAGTTTGAATGCATGCTTTCAGAGCGTGATGAAGGCAAGTTACGTAATGAAGGCAGCGTGCCGCGCACTGGGCCAAAACCACATTTGCATACTCTTGTTTATGCACTGTTGATACTATATGTACATGTTTTCACTGTGAGGATTATCCATCAACGCCTCTACACCTAGTGCCCCGTCAACGACTCCCATTGCTACGAATGCGCTGCACAGTAGTACTAGCTGCTGCTTGCCCTTGCTTTATTTTTATTTTTGCTGACCCTTACAGCTCTATCTTTTGTTTTTGGTGCGTGTTTCTGGCCGTGATGCCGAGACCTCAGGTCCGCAGAGCCATCAATGCCCCACCATCACTGCTGCACCTCGGTGCAGCCCCTTCTCAGTAGTTGTCACGTTTGTCCTTGTCTCAGTACCATTGTCTTCTGTATTATTTATGAGTTGGGTATGTGAACATAGTAAAAAAAAAAACACACACACCCACCCACATTGAGCCCCACCTACAGGTCGATCAATCTAGATTTCGATCTAAAGACAGCACTGAACTTCAGCTCTCCCGCCTAGTTCACCACATCTTTGCCGGCCGAGATGCGGGTCAGGCAGTGTCGACGTGCTTCTTTGATTTGTCAACGGCTTTTCACCTTGTCTGGCATGCTGACCTCCTGGCCACACTCGAGCACCTTGGTGTCCGTGGCATTGCCCTGAACTGGTTCACACGCTACCCGACTCGCCGCCGACAATGCGTCAAGGTTGGTTCCGCTTTGTGGTCGTGTGAATCCATTCCAGCTGGAGTACCCCAGGGCTCTGTCCTTGGGCCTCTTGTGTTTCTGGTATACACGATCGACCTCTCCCCAGCATGTACAGACTTGCGCACCAAATGTCGTCCGTTTGCTGATGACATGGCACCTATTGCAACACAATACACGAGGGATCTATCTCCTGCATTTCTCCAACGCGCCGCTTAGCAGGACGATGGTTGTAGGATTGTCATCTCCTCGTCAACACCACGTAACCCGTTGTCCTTTCCTTCCGACCCCACCACAGCATCCCTATCACACACCACGTGACTCTTCTGCTGCAGGTCTACCAACATAGGCACTATCAACAGAGCCAAAAAAACACTGCTACTCCACAGGACAGGTGACACAATGGAAGTTTGCAGCCTATTAATAATATACACAACATACATCCGATCCGTTCTTGAATATGGCACAGCAACATTGGGACACACTGGAGAGAATTCAGCGTCATTCTATCTCTTAATTTGCTGGCCAAAAATCCTATATATAGGATTTGAAAATGTGTGCCTTTTATGCCGTTGTTATTGGTCATCACGACCAATAATAACGGCATAATGGTTTTCATGGAAGTTGTAAAATATATTTGAGGCATGAATGTTTATATTTTAGATTCATACGGCGATAATATTTCTGATGAATACCCATGTTCAGCAATAATTGAAAATTTCAGCATAATTGTTCAGCTGCTGTCATGGAAAGGACTGAAGCAGTGAATGTGCAGAAAAACATTGCAGGTGTGGCACGGGGTGGTTTCTTGACGACATGTCGCACATGCCGTCAGGAAACTACCAGTTTTAAGGTTAAAACAAGGTCCAATAAAATCTCAAATCCTATACATAGGAATCGTAAAACAGGGCACAGGCCTTAGTAATATTGGGCAAGGAGATGAGCCTGAGATGGAAGTGTTTGAAAAAATTATCTTATTCAATTCTCGATATCTACTAAGACATAGCAAGGAAGAATTGGTCACATACTTTTTGCTATTCTCATGCCACACCCATTTTGAGTTGAAAAATATGACCAAAATCCTATATATAGGATTTAGCAAATTAAGAGATACGCATCTGCCTTCGGTTTCCCGTCTTTGCAGCCGTTCACCACAGTTCTCTCATCCACCATGCTCAGCTTCAAACTCTAAGGTCACGACTCCTCATTAAGCAAGCCATACTAGCATGAGACATCCACCACCACACCTCCCCACCACACCTGCAACAACCACATCTTGCACCGCAACGTCATCACCAAACTTATACCCTTCAACAGACAAGGACCTACCCCATAAGACTCGCACACACCAACAGGAACTGATATTCCCCCATCAACAGCTCCCTCTCCCTCTACAACTCACTCCCTATTGACATCACAACCCAACAGAACAGAAATTCTTTCCAAAGCACTGCATGCAGTCTTCTTTTGAATAGTACCTGTTCCCGCTCCACACACCCTCCTGGTTTCTAACATCTCAAAAGTGTATTTAACCGTCTTGATCAAATGAGTTATAGTAACCAATAGACAAATGTTATGTTGGCTGCTGTGTCAAGTAAGACAATTGTCACTCAATAGTTACCTATGGCCAATCCCATCGCCAACAGTTTATACGTACTTGGTATTGTAATCAATGCTCAGATCAAACCCATCTTTCCTATTGCACACAAACATGATATCTCAGACGATCTAGTCTCACTCTTCAAAGTTGTAAAACACCTACAGGTTCCAAACTCTGGGCGTATATTTTGTTAGATATTGTTGCCTGTGCCGAATGACGGCACGCCAAACCAAGTACTGGTTGTAGAGCTCTGTGGTTGTCTGCCTGCGCAACTCTCTCTCACAGACTCCATGTCAAGGAACAGAGCAAGATCAACTTAAAGCAGCATGCACAGTCATGGTATACATGCACTACTGATTACTTTGTCCGGCAATGGCATGTTATACTATGGCCAAATCCTTATCCGGCAATGGCACATTATACTATGGCCAAATCCTTATCCGGCAATGGCATATTATACCATGGCCAAATCCTTATCCGGC